TCTTCCGATTCTCTCCCCCATCCCACTGGGGTTGGGGGGGAGTGAGCGAGCGGCTGCGTGGTGCTCAGTTGCCAACTGAGGTTAAACCACAACAGTTTGTTTATAGGGAATCCCACTAACTAGGATGCTGCAAAGTTCTCTGGGGAATACACAAATAGCAGGATGTTGCTTTACGTTTGTTAAAAAAAAATTCCTTTTGGGCAGGTATGAGGTCTTGAAAGTGTCGGGATAAACAATGAAAGTTGAAAAAAGTAAGTACTTTTTCAGCTGCACATTTAAGAAACTGAATACTCTAGCAGTTCTATCTAAAGCTATTATATGATCCAGATAAAATTATGTGAGAGAATACATGTGTTCACACACCTTTAGAGGTAGATACTGCATAGAAAAAAGTACACAGACTAAATCTTTTGAGTTTCCAGCCAGTTCCAGCTGTCTCCAATGGACACCGCAGGACATAGGAAAAGTGCAAGCAGGAAGGAGCGGCAGAAAGCATCTGCCTGTTACTGACCGTACGTGGTTAGCATATCTGCAATTCATTGTGGGGTAGTAGATTTCAAAGTTCTGGATCTTAAAGTTACTGAATCATCAGAAGGAAGCCAAAATCTTGAGAAAACAAATGCTTGATTAACATTTTACGTTGATGTATTACATTCATACTGTAAATCAGGGTGGGAGAAAGAGAGAATATGCATCTTTTGAGGAAATAATTATGTTGATTCCTACTTGCTTGAGCTTCTAAAAAGGGGTTATGTGCTTTGTCTATATAAATTTCCCTTGGTACCATAATTCTGTAATCAGCAGAAGTTGATGTTTGAATCCATAAAGCTAATTGGTTGAGCTAAAAACATTAAACAATCCAGGCTGTATTTTCCAGGGGTGGAGTTAATCTGTGGCTACAAAATGATATTGTTAATTTTGAAGGTAAAAAATGGGGGAGGGTGCAGAATCTCTCAACTTTGGCTTCGCTTTGCCCTGCTTAAGTCTATCTTACAGGTTGCTCAGGGAGGCTATGGAGTCTCCCACCTTGGAGTTACTCAAAAGCCGCCTGGACATGGTCCTGGGCAACTGGCTGAAGGTGTCCCTGCTTGAGCAGGGGGGGGTGGACCAGGTGACCTTCAGAGGTCCCTTTCCAACCTCAACCACTCTGTGGTTCTGTAATATTCTGCTTTCATCAGTGATTTCTCTGATTTCATGTTTTTTTCTAATTTTTGTCCAACACTCACTTAAATATACAATGACTTTAGTGGTTGTCTTTTGTGTCAGAGCCTATGTGCAAGGTTAGGCCAGAGGAATGCATGGATAGCTTGTAAGTGTATCTTTGAGATGGATTTGCCAAAATTTTTTTTTAAAGGTCTATTCTTACAATAATCTCACAGCAACACAGTTGTGATGCAAAAGTCTTGGAGGCAAAATACTGAAAACAAGCCACTTTGGAGTTTGTTATTTCACTTTCTGCATTATTATTATTTTCTATGGTGTGGCAAGATAACATATATGTGACAACTCTTGTAATAGTGGCAAGAGGCACTAGGCTCTATAAAGAGGATTCTGAATCAGATCCTGTAACTGTTGTAATTCCCAAATCAATATTGCTATTTTTGTAAGTTATAAGGATTGTGACGGGAGATTTCCTTTGCCGTCTGGCAGAGAGGGAACAAGAATGATGAATTAGTGTATCTGCTTAATTTCACGAGGTGAGATTAGTGACAACCGTTGTGAGATCATTTTGAGATGTGTTGTTGAAGCAGTGTGGGAAGCTGACACAGACATTGACAATAGCTCATGCGCAGTAACTGTGGATATATACAAAAATTTCAATAGCTGAGGTTTTTCAAGCAGCCCATTGAGCCAGCAATAAAATACCAAAAAAAGAGACAAGAAAGGCTCCTTGCAGTTTATATGTATAAAGATGAAGATCCAGGCTCAAGCCATAGTCTTTTTCAAAAGCAGTTGTGATGGAGCGGGGAGGCCAGGCAGTGCACAGTTAGCCCCAAGCGGTTGTTCGGGGAGTCCGGATTTCTTGAGTAGACTTCTAAAGCTTCACTCATAAGCAGCGGCTCCAAGGAAACGTGAGTGGCAGGAGGCAGATCTCCCTCTGGATGAAAATTCATCTGGGACACAGAGGGCTCTTCTGGATTAGCGCAGGGTGTACATTCCCCAGCATGGGTTTACAGCTGCAGCGGGGAAGCATTTTAGCTCTAGCTTCCTTTATCCTTTGTGATAATCCTTTCCAGCTCCCTACTGCTGTGCACAGGTTTTAGCTTGTCACTACTGTTGGCTCCTGCAGCACTGCCCCTCGTCCTGCTAGCTTTCATTGATCGTTGCTGCCGTTGACACTCACATGCCCTTTGATAAAGTAGCCGTCAAAGCTCCCGTCCCTCTACAAGCCCTGTTCCAGACCCACTCCTATCTGAGATGTTCATTAGTGTCGTTTGCCAAAAAAGGTTTATGTAACAGATGTTGCAAAGCGGACGCGCAGAAACACGCACACTCACACACCAGTATTGCAAGGGCTGTAAAGGGAGGATGGTCTGCAGGACCAGAGTAGCTCGAAGGCACAGCTGCATCTGTTAAAAAGGCAACTAACATCTCTGTGTGACCATGCTCTATTTTCAGCTTGTCATCATGGCTGGGACTGTTCTGCTCGCCTACTACTTCGAGTGCACCGATACTTTTCAGGTGCATATCCAAGGTTTCTTCTGTCAGGATGGCAATTTGATGAAACCATACCCTGGAACAGAGGATGAGAGCTTCATTTCACCTCTTGTGCTCTACTGTGTGCTGGCTTCAACTCCGACAGCTATTGTAAGTATAAGAAATTATTTGAATTCTCCACGACTGCTCCATAAATAATAGCAATAGTCCTGTAATATCTTTGTCCCCTCTGCTCTCTTTTCAGCTGTAATTGATTTACACTTAGCCAGGCCTCTGTTTTGCCTTAGCCTAATATGATTTTCATCAGTTATCTCCAGAAGTAATTATTCTGAGGTAATCACAATGCAAGACTGAGGGGTAGAGGTTGTTAAACCTTTTACAATAGCTTGCTCACTTCAGTGATTAGTTGTGAATTGCCTGGGCTTGAGAGAGGCTCTAATGCAAAGGTGATGTATTACTGGAAATAAGAAAACAGGATAAAGCTGAAGTAAAACCTGGGTCAGACATGCAGTAGATCCAGGATTATTTGCTGCTATATTAAAAGGACTGTTGAAGGGCTTTGAAAGGCTTAGATGAGCAGAAAGATGCTCAATACAGAGAAAAGTATGAATGCTATTTCCTTTTCATTTACAATCTCTTTATTTTTGGCAGTCACATCCACTTAACTTTTTTTTACCTGATGTTTTTTACTATCCAACCAGTAAAGCTGCAACATAGCTGTTCCGAGCAGATGAAAATATTCAATTAGCTGAGTACATACAATTCCAAAGAGATGATTGCAGTCACTGATTAGCAAAACTTTGGCCCTTCTCCATTTTCTGTGCAGAAAGTTGCAAATTTCACAAATGCTTTGCTGCATTTGTAATTACATAGATAAATTCCTATCAGACTGTGTGTTTATGTACTTTGTTGTTTATTTCTTTCTCTTTATTTCTTTATCTTTAATATTTCTTTCTTATATTAACTTTGCTTTGCATCCCTTTCGAAAGTTGATTAAAGCTGTGCATGATGTATTTACTTGTGAAAGGTGAATGCTGCACCATAGTCCATTTTAAGTTTTGGTCTGCAGTAATTTTAATGCATGAAACAGTGTAACACAGAACATGATAAGAAATGTGAAAGAGATCTGCAGAAGAGGCTATAGTTTTTGGTACAGGACACTTTCTGAAAATGTGTAGGGATTTTGAATTGGATTATATCATGAGTTCATGAAAATCCTCTGCAGTAATAGTATTACTTTCTGTATTGAAACTCAGTTGAATGTTAAGACTTTCATTTTACTTTGTGCTGCAGTGATAGATGATTTGCAAATGAAAAAAAAAATACATTTGTCCAACTTCCCCCACATAAACATAGTGCCATTGTTCAGGGAAGTAACTTCCACAGGCAGTGTTTGTAAGGGGAGATTAAGTGTCACTACTATGCCTTGATGCCATAACCACGAAATTAGTGGGAGGTTTGTCCCTTGGTTCAGCAATAAGGCATTGGGTGGGCAAGTGGTAGTAAGAATGTTGCTCTTTATTTGGATCTTCTGTTTAAATCCTTGCTCTGGCAAAGTTTGCTGCAGACCTTTCAGGTTTTGCTCCACTGGATCAGCATTTTCTTTCTTTTCAGTGGCCCAAGAATTTTTTCCTAGTTACTCTTACTTATGAAAAGCTGAATTGGGGTCTTCTTCAGGAGATGAACAATGCTGTTTTTGCATTTTCCATAGCCCATATTAAAGACAAGGAATGAAAGACTGTAGTGAATGTCAAATAAAGTTTTTGGGTGCAAAGACCTTCATTTCAGTGCTGTGTGGAGCTGGTGTGACTATCTGATACAATGCAAGCTGTGCAGAGACGCTAGCCTGGGTCCAGAAGTACAGTAATCACCCTAGATGATTGGATCCAGTGCTGGATATAAGCTAGTAAGCTCTGCTTCTTGGGTTATGCTATGCCGTTACACTGGCAATACTGCTCCATCTAGAGAAGATGTGGTCAGGGACAGCACAGGGCTCTCTGCACCATGCTTCATTGTGATCTCTGTGTACAACCTCAAGGAGACAATACATCAAACTTTCGTGGGAAAACATTTTTCTTTCCATTTTTAATGGAGTATGTATTAATACACTATTTAATACATTATTTGCATAATTTGTATTGTGTTGTATTATTAATACGTTATTTAATTATTTAATGTATTAGTATTGGACTAATCTTCAACTAGGGCATATGTCAGAGGGATCTTCTTCTGTCCTCCTGACTGGTGCTCAGCACAATGTTTTTATATGAGTAACTTCACTTTATTTCTCATTGCCATCTTTTTCTGAGAGACTTTACACTCCTTGCAGGCTAATTTCAGACTTCTGCTTCAGCTAGTAGCTGACTCTGCAGGCTGAGTTTTGGCAACAGACCAAACTGACCATTAACAGAAAGCTAGTAAAGGAGACAGAAAGTGAGCTCAGAGTCTCCCTAAAAACTGTCCTTGCATTGCACTGCTGGTCAGACCACTAAAGAGTGCGAGCATCAGCTGTCACCTGGTACCCGAATGGGTGCTGCCTGCCATTCAGACCATCACAGTCTGGGAAGAGATGTTTGATCCAGTTGAATCTCCCAGGGATTTCAGTGAAAGGAGCAAGTGCAGCCATTTCTATTTATACTGTGATGATTGTATTCTCTCTCTCTCAAAAAAAAACCCCAAACAAACCAAACCACAAACAAAAGAACCCACACAGCTGGGCTTCATGGGAGGGAGCTTTGCCTGCATTCACTGTGCGTTAAGTTGTAGCTTCACTCTCTACACTTTGCTCTCAGGAATAATCACTGACATCCTGCAGCTCCACTGTGAAGAAATTACTTAAGTCAAAGGTAGTGCCAGTCCCCCCTTACAATTACTTTTTTCTTCTCTGCAAGACACTTGTTGCTTCACTTTCTGACAACAAATTGGTTGCTTTGGCTAAGAGGATTTACAGCAGCAAATCTGATCTCTCTGTGTTGCTTGCATATTGCCACTGTCCTGACACCTCATGGCATGAGCCAAGTGATTATTGTTAGAAGGGGTGGAACCCAGCAACAACGAGGGAGCACTCATGGTACTCGTTAACAGTGTTTCTGGAGCTATGGAAAATAGTCTAGGAGTCCGTACAAGCTCCCTCATCTGAGACACAAGCAGTGTTTAAGTGCAGTCCTCTGTGCACAGGTCTGGAGACGACTCAAAGCCCTGATTTCAGCATAGCTCTGAGGTGTTCTAATGCTCGCAAGCCAAAAGGGAGCATCTTTGTAAATTTAATGGAATATCTTTGTGTCTCAGTCATTTGGCTATGACAGTGGCCATGGGGAAAACAAATGCATGTGTTTTATTTCTTCCCTGACAGCGCTTCTCAGAAGTGCTGTTGTGGGTTGGTAGCACTTTCCCTGCACTTTTAGTGGAAAAAATAGATGAGACCAGCCTTTTTTTCAGTGGTTTTATTTGTTGTTCTTGAAACATGTGATGCCGCTGACTCCATTTAACCATTTTTCTGTTACACTGGGTAGTTAATCATCATAAATCAGAATTACAAAAGTCTTTTAATGCTCCTACTGATAACCTCTTAGTCTCTGGTAACAGGAGTTTCTTGCAAGGGAAGATGCCTGAATCTCATGACAACACTGTTAAATAAATGAAAATCATGTATGCCTGCCTCCGTTCTGTGAAATGCATTTTTCTCCCAAATGTTCCACTGAGGATAGGTCAAAGGCTTTCATCTGCCTTATTAATTTTTAATTTTCTGAGTGTGGTGGTATTAGCATCTTTGCAGCAAAGTAGTAGGATATGGTGAATTTAGTAATAAATTGCAGCTACCTAAGGAAAAATCTGTTTTTCTTTGTAAAGAAAAAACTGGCCATTTTATTTCAGATTTAGTGATTTATCCCCTGAAACATAGATCTTCAGACTCAAGTAGTAAATTTTGCTGTCAGCACTGGTAGAAAAGGGGGATTCCTGGAATCCTGTCTGTTTTGGATTGAACTTGGAATTATCTGTAGGTTCTGGTGCCACAGAGAGCTTCCTAAGATATGTATGGTTTCATCTTCATCTCATGCCAGCTGTTTTTAATGCCCTTTTTTTTCTTCTCAGAGACTTTCCCCTTCTTGCAGGCTGATTTCAGTTGTACTGACATTGTTGGCGGTTGGTTATTGAACTGCTAAATTTCCAGTGTTCCTGTTGTCATACTGAGATGGGTATAGGAATGCTTTCAGCCTGTCTCACAGTAAAGTAGAAGCTATGGTTAAATCATTTTAATTTTTGCAGACAGGAATGTACCATCCTTGACAGTCATGGCAAGCACTTGGGTACTGTACCTACCAGCCAGTCTCTGGGGCCAGGGAAGGGGAGTGAGAAGGAGGAGATTTGTCTCTGTGACCTTGTGAGAATAGCACAGAACTTCCGTCTTTGCCTCCACCGTATTTCAAAGGATCAAAAGTTTCCAACTTTCCAAAAACTGCTTTTGTCTTGGGCTTCAGGTGGCCTACAGCAACATGTCTGCACATTTCGATAGCTGACCTCTGCGTTACAGAGCTTTAGACAGACAGCCCGTCATTTTGGTGGTTATAGGTACTCCAGGAAGGGTGAAATTAGCCAGAGAACAACTGTATTTTTTTTTTCAGAGATGGAGGTCTTAGAATGCAACCTTCTTCTGGAGGTAAATGTAGTGTAGGTATTTGTCCTGTTTTCGGCTGGTTTTCCAGTGATAGGGAATGTAAAAATTTAGAGCAGCTTGAAAGTTTAAGCACCGGAGCTTGAGTTCCATGATCACAGGTCTGGTGAATTTAAAAGTGACCTGTCCCACAGCCGAGTGTTATGCAGAGCCTGGGAGAAAGTGTAATATTTCAACGCACTGTCAATTCCAAAATACTGGGGGGGAGAATTAACAATTCTTTTAATTTTTGCCAGTTTGACAACTTTATGAAAACAATGCTTAAAGTGGAACAAGTTGCTTTGCACAAACATAAAATTTTTAAACCATTTCCTTAAAAATATTCTGGTATGACTCCACCACATTCATTAGTGTCCTTCAAGACGAGCTTTCCCCATTATGAGATTACTGCAAATCAGCCAATTCCCCAGCTGGTACTAAACAATCCTTCCAGAGTTCAGAGCTGCTGCCTGCACTGCTCCATACACTGTGATTTGTC